TGTGTGTGTGTGTGTGTGTGTGTGTGTGTGTGTGTGTGTGTGTGTGTGTGTGTGTGTGTGTGTGTGGAGGCGTATTAACGCGCCCCTCCTGCCACGCCTCAACACCACTGTGATGGAGCCGTCACTGAATTAAAAAATCATGTGTGTGTGTGTGTGAGCAGGGTGGGGGCTTCCTGCTCCAGTGTGCCATCTGGTGCCCACCCGGCTCGTATGGTGGGATAAATGTGGGGGTGGATGAGAGTGTGTGTGTGTGTGTGTGTGTGTGTGTGTGTGTGTGTGTGCTTGTGTTGGGGGGGGGGTGTCAGCTGTCTAAGACCCCCCTCCTGCCCCTCCCACCACCTTCTCCCTCAGGGTCTTTGCTTAAATTACTCATTTTATTTTCTGTGTTAGGAGTCGAGAGATTCACTGTCACGTGCACGCCCTCAGAGTGTGTGTGTGTGTGTGTGTGTGTGTGAGAGAGAGAGGACAAGTTCAGAGGTACCTCGTCACATTGAAGTCATCGGATCTTTATGTCCCTGAATTAGATTATTTTTATGTGGAAAGTAAATGTGTTTTTTAAAATACGAATGTAATTAAACTATTTCCTGTATTTGTTGTTGCGGATCTTCTTAAAGCTTTTGTACTGTTTCTGTCACACACTTTTATTTTACAGTGATTCAATCACATCAGTCTAAAATACAGAGGTGGACAGACTAAAAGGATCCCAGTGATTAACCTGTGGTCATGTGAGAGGCCACAGTGTTTGGGTGCAAAAGACTGATGGAGATATTTTGTGTTTTCAGGCCTCTGCTGCTGCTCCGCCTCGTCCTGACGTTAGAAAGCTTGTGTGACAGCACATGAGGACTTTCAGTGAACGTACGTGCAGATCTTGTGCAGGTTCTCCCTGTCGTCCAGGTCCTGGGGATAGTTGGCCATGTTCTCCCCCAGCTGAAGCAGACAGTCCGAGAATCCTTTAAACACCGAGTCACATTGACCAGCGCTGACCAGCACCGTCTGCAACACCGAGACTGCAGGAGGAGGAGGGAGGTAAGGGGGGAGGGGGGAGAGAGGGGAGAGAGGGGAGACTTTTAGTTTCACCTTCGTCTGGACATATTTGATATTCTAGTGATTTCTGAGCTGATTCTCTCAGAAAGTATCAGCTGTTGAACGTGTTTCACTTCTTACTGTCACATCCTGCATCATCTTTATAAGAGCACAACTATTTTAACATTCAAACCAAAATGACTTCAGTCATGACTTTCCTCCAGCTGTAAATCTGTTTCCTGATTTAATTCTGCTGGATCATTGTCACTAAGAGGAAGTTTACGTCCACACTCAAAGAAAAGCTTTCGTTTCTAATGTGTTTTCATATCGAACAAATGTAAAGACAATGATTCTGAGGAGGAGAATAATCTGCACGCAGACTTTTTTTGAAAACTTAAATCTGAGATCAAGTTTCTAGAACAGATACAAAGATAAATATGTACAGTATATATATGTATATGTGGAGAGAGAGAGAGAGAGAGGGAGTCTCTGCACCTTTAAGAGCTGTCGTCACGTGGTTATTTAAACTTTATGGATTTGACACGAGGCTGCAGCTCAGTGTTCATCTGATTCATTTACTCTAAACATTCAGGTGAAACTTCACCGTCTCTCCTGACTGTTTGAAAAGAGCAGGAACAAAAACTGAAACACACGATTCCACAAAACTTCAGGTACTGACCACTGTGTGTGTGTGTGTGCGTGTGTGTGTGTGT